CCCATTGGGACCCGGTGTCCCCATAGCCCGTGACCCCCACGGGGTCCCCGGCCCCCCCCTCTGGGACCGCCCCGGCGCGCGGCGCTCCTCGCTGCCACCAGGCGGCGCTGGAACCCGCGGCGCGTATCGGGAGGGGACATGACGTCACCTCCACGTGCCGTAGTGACGCAGCGCGTCGCGCGCCGGCGCGGCCACTTCCGGGCGCGGCGGCAAGATGGCGGCGCCCAGCTGTGACGCCGGTAATGGCGGCGCCGCGGCCCGTTACTGCCTGGTGAGCGGCATCCCGGCCGCGCTGCGCTCCGCCCAGCTCCGCCACTACTTCAGCCAGTTCATCGAGGCCGGCGGCTTCCTCTGCTTCCACTACCGGCACCGGCCCGAGCGCGCGGCGGCGGCGGCGGCGCCGGGCACTTGCTCGTGCCTGGTGGCCGTGCGGCCCGGCCACGCGCGCCGCCTCGTCCGCATGTACTCGGGGCGGCGCTGGCTCGGGCCGGGCGCGGCGCGGCTGCCCGGGCGCTGCCGCGTGCGCAGGGTCCGGCTCGGCCCCGGGGCAGGTACGGTGGGAGCCCCGGCCTGCGCGGGGCCCGGCGTGAGGGGGCACGGGGGGATCTTCGGGGACCCCTGGACGCCGGATTTTCCCCGTTACCCCCTTGTTTCTGTCCTTGGGCAGCTAAAAGCCCTCACGGAGTCTTCTCTGTGCCTTAAGTGCGGGTTTGGAGGAGGCTGTTTTGGCTCGACCATCTTCCCCACCTATAAAACACCCGTAATGCTGCCCAGGAGGGCACCTGGGCTGTCCCCTTCCCGGTGCATGTGTCCCTTCCTTCCGCCCCCTTCTCCTGAGTTTGTTGCCTCTCTCCTCCAGGCCCGGAGACGTTTCCCTACGAAGGTGACAAGGCGGCTGTGAGCGATTCCGGCGCGGAGGTGGATTTGAAGCGGCTGCCCGAGCTGAACCCCCCTGCGTTCATGCCACACGGGAATGTGGGAACGCCCTTGAAAGTTTTCCTGGAGTTGATCCGGGCCTGCAGGCTGCCTCCCCGGATTATCAAGAAATTGCAGCTGGATTTTCCCAAGACAGGCTCGTCCCGTAGGTATGGGAATGTGCCCTTTGAATACCAGGACACTGAGACAGTGACAGGAGAAGGAGTTTACACAGCAGCAGGGGATGAGATCCCGGAGGACGAGGAGCCTGTGGGACGAGCCGAGACGTCTGATCCAGTCACTGCCGAAGAAGGTGGGGAGGGACAGGAGGAGGAGGAAGCAGAGGAGTCGCACTCAGATGATGTAAGTTGCTTTCTCCTGTTAACATCTAAGGTTAATGGTTACAGCTGCAAAGCTGGGAGGATTGATACAACTCATTTGGAGCTTGTTCTTTTTACTTCTCCTGTATAGATCGTTTGTCTGAAAATGGCGTTAAAACACAACTGCTTGAAAGTTGGTGGCCAAGCCCTTTGGTGCACATAAATGTCTTGGAAGCTGCTTGTCCAAATCAGGCCCATTTTAGTGGCATAAAATTGTTCAGCTCAAAGAGCTTGGCCGAGAAGGACAAGCTGGGGCTGGGGCTGCAGGTGGAGGTCTCTGCCCTGTTGCCTGGCGGATTCTCCTGGCTCTGCTTGTAAATGATGTGGCTGGAGATTTGGAAGCACATTAGTGCTCTCAAAACACGTGGAGCCATACGAATCCTTGACCTTGGATGCCCCTGCGATTTGAATGAGTCATTCCATGTCCTGAGAAAAATGGTTCTCCTGACAGAGCCTCCTAGACAACCGGGCTGGACAGGCTCCCTGCAGCCTGTCCCGCTCCCCCCCAGCTGACAGGTGCTCGTTTAGCCTGTTCTCGTTAACCTCCCTCATTAGAGAGGTGCTCCAGTCCCTGAGCCAGCCATTCCCGTTCCTCGCGCTCCTCGACAGTGTGCACCAGGATAAACCTGGATGCCAAATCTTTGCTGCAATTTTATTGCATTAAGTTATGTTATCCTAGTGACAGTGGCCACAGAGAATGCTTTGTTCTCTTCCTTACCAACTACTTATTCAACAACTGTTTTCAGTCTTTTCTCCTCCAGACTAAACAACTTGTCCCTTCTAGTCTTTTCTCCCAGGCTCTGTTTCCTGGATCTCCAGTCATTCTTTTGGCTGTTGTTTAGTTGGTTACAGCCTCCGTGAAGGGCCGTGCCCAAAACTGGGCAGCCAGCAGCGAAGCTGTCACTCTCATCTATGACTCCGCCAGCAAGCTGCTTCTCTTGGGTTGATACAATCTTTCTGAAGGATCAGCTTGACTGAAATTAATTTGTCGCTAGTGCTGACTTCACGTACAACACGCCTGCTCCTTAAATGGCCATCGTTGCCTTACGCATTGGCTGAGCTGCTGAAAGGCTGCTGCGAAGTGGGTGTGATGTGGTATTTTTCATCACTCCTGCCTGCTGACTCGGAAGGTGGCATTAGTCAGGGGAGTGAGGTCATCGGTGCCAGTCGTGTTCGTGCCTGGGAAGGGCAGGCTGCAACGCGCTCTGTTGACGCAGCTGTTTCGCAGGGAAGGCCCCGCAATGGAGCGGGAGGGTCAGGGCGACGGCGGGGAGGTTGGCCCTCGTCCTCTCACCGGTGCACCTTGTGCTACTGCTTTTGCAGGACAATGATACCTGTGAGGAATGGGAGCGACACGAGGCTCTGCACGAGGATGTGACCAAACAGGAGCGCACGGAGGAGCGGCTCTTTGAAGAGGAGATCGAGCTGAAGTGGGAGAAGGGCGGCTCTGGGCTGGTCTTCTACACGGATGCTCAGTACTGGCAGAAGGAGGATGGAGGTGACGACAAAGTTTGTCTCAAGACTGAGCCACAAACTGGGGGCTTAGGAGCCTGGTCTTGCTGTAGCAGCTAGATCAGATATAACCCTGTGTGGTTGTTCCTGGTCAGGCATCTTGTCATCACATTTAATTTTTCCTTTTACAAAGCCCATAGTTAAAGCCCACAGTTGTTCAACCCAATGGCCAGAGACCCTTCTGGTCCTACTGGCAGCCTTTTATGTAGACACTGGTTTATGGCATCCTCACTGTGCATTCTTTCTCAATTTACTGGAGAAAATGAGGAGCTCTGCACCAGTCTGTTAGGTTTTGTCAGGCTTTCGCAGTTACCACCAACACTGATGGTTTCCTTCTCTTGGCAGATTTCGATGAGCAGACTGCAGATGACTGGGACGTAGACATGAGCATCTACTATGACAAAGGTATCTGAACTGAAAACCTTCCTAGGAAGTGGTGGAAATAGGAGAATTCTGAGCCTTCAGAATTTCTGCAATGGGGAACTCTGGCTCTGTTATCGTTTGAAAGTGTCCAAGATGTCAGAGTAATTAAAACAGCATTTTTTTTTTTCATGTCTGGCAGCAAGGCTTGCCAAAAAGAACAGGTTCTGCCTTCTTGGTGCTTGGCACTCGGGGGGGAAATCACAGCAGTGAAAGACTTCCCGGGTTTTGCTGCTCTGATTTTAGCTTCTTTCTTCCTTAGATGGAGGAGATAAAGATGCTCGGGACTCAGTTCGGATGTGGCTGGAGCAGAGACTTCGCGACGGTTTAGAGGACGGGTCTGTTTCAGGGCAGCATATTGGGACTTTTGAGAAATACACCAAGGTGAGCTTTGGATGAGCCCTCTGGAGTGGATGGAATGGGCAAGGAAAGGCAGTGGGGGTGATGCTTAAAGGATATGGGCCTTGGAGGAGCAAAGAGGTTGGATGTTCTAGTGGGAGAAGGGTTCTGGGCAGGATGGGGCCTTGTCCAGCATCTCTGCAGAATGAGTGAGCCCACTCCTCGAGCCACCATGGGCCATAATTGGGCTCATCCTGCCTTGTGCTGGGGCAGGCTAACGTGGATCCACTTTTTCCCCTTCCAGGGCATTGGCAGGAAGGTGCTGGAGCAGCAGGGCTGGGTCGAGGGGCTGGGGCTGGGCAGCAGCAACTCGGGAATGGCCGAAGCTTTGGACAACGAGGGTCAAAATCCCAGATGCAAGCGGGGACTGGGGTAAGTACCAATCGCACAGGTGAGAGGAGGATCTGAATCATTTTCTCCCTGTGTCAGCCTGCTCCTACAGTACAGAATGTGAAGGAGATGAGTTGGGGTACGGAGGGGCTTCCCACCACCTCTCCAGTGCTAAACTCACTGTCCTTCTTCCCTCTAGGTACCACGGGGAGAAACTGCCGACCTTCAGCAAGGCAAAGAAGCCCCGGCCAAATGGTCCCATCCTCATCTCCACCATCTACGACGACCCTGAGCCCGTGGACAGCGGTGACCTGCTGCTCAGGCGCCAGCCACCCACTGCCATGAAGTACAGACAGGACATGCCCTTTGTCCGGGCATCCCGTGGCACTCGGGAGAGACCCAGTGCCCCGTCGCACTGAGCAGAGACTGTCACAGACCATTTGTACTGGTCCCGTCTCCCTCTGGCAGCAGGCTGGCTCCTGCTGCTAATATATTTATTTTTGAAAGAACCCAAATTGTAACAAAAACTGCCTTGGTGGGATTTGTTTTTTTTTCCTTCTACTTTGAACCATTTCAAGTGAGGGGAATCACTGCTTGTCCATTTGTTCAGTGGGGATGGGGAGTGTCTGATTGGTGCTTTAAAGCCCAAACTAGGAGGAAAGCTGCAGCCTGAGACCCAGGGGAGGACAAGTACAGACACGGCGGCCGTGGCACGGTAGCTGTCCTGCGGAAAGCTTGCTGCTGGCCCGCAGCCTCGCGCTGCCTGGGCGTGACCATCCTGCAATCCCAGGAGAAACTTGCCTTGATGAAAGACGCGTCCTGGCAGCCTTCGGAGGAGCTCTGCGGCAGGCGGCTCCCTGCGGTCGGGCGCGGGGGTGCTCCCTTCCATGGCTCTCAGACGTGCAGGGCCACGTCCTGCCCGTTTCCCTGACACAGGCAGCCTTTCCCAGGCTGCAGAGTCCCTCTTCCCCATCCTTGTGACCCTGTCCTGCAGCCATAGATCTGCATTAGCATTCTCCCTGCCTGCAGGCTCTGGCTTGGCCGCGTTAGACTACCCAGATGCCCCAGACTCCTTCATTAAGGTTCTAGCCATGCTAAGAGCATTGCAGAGATCAGTTCTCATTTTCTTTGCCAAGCCTGGGTGTGGTTGCAGGGCAGTGGCCTTGGCTGCGAGGCCACTGCTGCTCCTGCAAACTCTGGCCCCTTGGAGAGGAGATTAAGCCCCATTGTGCTTTTTGTGGGGCTGCTCTTACTCCCAAACCTTGGTGGATTTGTCTGGGTGTGTACTGGAAATTGGGGCTTGGTTGTAGAGCCTTGGGCTGGTCCTCCTGCTGCAGTAATGAATATTTTTAGGAAGAAATAGACCTGAAACTAAGGTCGCCTCTAGGGTAGAGGCACTTTAGCCAGGGGTGCTTGTGTGTGGCGAGGGGGCGCTGGGTTTGGGAGCTTTGCTGCAAAAACGATTTGCTTTCCCCGTTTCGAGGGGCCGGGGTCGGGACGCGAACCAGCGACCCGCAGCCGGGGCTCGGCGCCGCCCTTCCCCGCGGCTGCGGCGCCTCCCGCCGGCCGCCAGGGGGC